ATGGTAATGACGATGCTAGCGATGACGATGACGATGGTGGTGTTGATGATGAGTATGATGACGCCGTTGATGCTGATAAAGATGGTTATAGTGATGGTGATGGTGGTGATGCTGCTGATGATGATGTGGTGGCGATGATGATGACGCCGATGATGATGATGATGATGATGATGATGATGATGATGATGATGATGATGATGATGATACTGATGATGATACTGATGATGGTGGGGATGATGATGCTGGGAATGGAGATGACGATGATGGCGGTGATGATGGTGATGGTGGTGGTGATGATGATGGTGATGATGATGATGATAATGATGATGGTGATGATGAGGAGGAGGATGAGAGTGAGGAGGAGGAGGACCAGGAGGAGTGATAGAAGGATGACGTGGAGGATAAGGGTGATGTCCATGAGGAGGAAGAGGCTGAGAGTTGTAGGGTAACGCCTCCTCCTCCTCCCCATCTTCCGCATCCTCCTCATCCTCTCCCGCCTCCCCTCGAAGAAAGGATCGGGGGATGAAGGGCAGGAGTGATAGGAGGAGGGTGAGGAGGGGCACATAATATTGATGGGATCACCGAACGGGGAGGAATGTACTCATTAGCATCGTCTTCCTCCTGTTCCGCGTGCGCATAATGTTCCTAGCCATATAAGAAAGAAAAAGAGGAGACGAAATAATAGGATGGTGGCGAGGAGGAGGAAGGGGCGGAGGAAGAGGAGTTATGGAAGCAGGGGGAGGAAGATGGACAGCAGGAGGATCATGAGACGGAGGAGGAGGAGCAAGTGGAGTCACTCCTCGTCAGTATCAGCATGCTGCTCCTCCGCCTTCTCCTCCTCTCATCACTCATCCTCATACTCCTCCCTAATGTTATCCTCCTCTTTCTCCTCCTGATCATCATCCTCATCCTTTCCCTCCTCCGCCTCCTCTTCTCATGAGAGGAGAGTGGCACACACACACACACACCTGTCTAGACATAGGTATATATATATATATATATATACACACATATACATATATATAAATGTAGATTAAACCAGAGAAAAACCTATCAAAGTTAGTTGTAAGGCTATAGGGCTATAGGGCTATTGGGGTATAGGGCGATGGGGTTATGGGGCTATAGGGCTATGGGGCTATGGGGTTATAGGGGCATAAGGTTATAGGTCTATAGGGCTATAGGGCTATAGGGCTATAGGGCTATAGGGTCGTATGGCTATGGGGCTGTAGGGCTATATAGGGCTATGGGACTATTGGGCTCTGGGGCTATGGGGTTATAGGGCTATAGGGCCATAGGACTATGAGTATATAGGGATATGGGGCTGTAGGGCTACAGGGCCATAGGGCTGTAGGGCGATAGGGATATAAGGCTATAGGGCTATAGGCATATATAGCTATAGGGATATAGGGCTATAGGGCTATAGGGCCGTAGGGCTATAAGGCTATAAGGCGATAGGGCTGTGAGACTATAGAGACATAGGGCTATAGGGCTATTGGGCTGTTGGGCTATAGGACTATAGGACCATAGGGCTATGGGGCAAAATGGCTATTGGGCAAGAGGGCTATAGGGCTATAGGGTTATGGGGCTATGGGGCTATAGGGCTATAGGGCTATAGGGCTATAGAGCTATTGGGCTCTAGGGCGATAGGGCTGTAAGGCTATAAGGCTATAAGATTATATGGCTATAGGGCTATAGGTCTGTTGGGCTGTAGGGATATAGGACTATAGGGCTATTGGGATATTGCTCTATGGGGCTATAAGGCTATAGGGCTATAGGGCTATAGGGCTATAGACCTATTGGCCTAGTGGGCAAGAAGGCACCCGGGCGGGCCGCGAAAATCTTGGGCAAAGCTCTCCTAACCATATGAATCCGCTATGACCCCTACAGAGGCAAGCTCTGATTGGGGGGTATATGCGAGAGAGGGAAAGAAAAATAAAGAAAGAGAGTCAGAGAGACAGAGGGGGAGAGAGAGAGAGAGTGCTGGGCACGAACATGCGGGATTGGCCTCGAACCTCTTGTCGTACGCGTTGTGGTGCTACTACATTGATACCGCTTCTCGTTAAAAACACGCCAAAACAAGCTTCCAACCATGTAAAATATTGGAGACCCGCGCGGATGTCTTGGATCCGCGCTGACCCCCCTCCCTGGCGCGCGGAGCGCGTCAAGGGCGGCGCCGCAGGCGCCCAAACGGGGACCCAACGCCGATCCAAGAAATCCGCGCGGAGTCAAAAAATTACCTAACAGCGAAGACTGATAGGTTTCTAGTGGTCTCAAAATAGAGCATCATAAATCCCCAGGGAGGTCTGGGCAGATGCCGGACAGATGCCGGACAGGTGCCGTGGGAATCCGGGGACTCCTTTTTTCGCCAACAGTAAAACACTTCGTGGTCTTCGAGTTCCCAGAACTCCATTCCTGGGCATGATTTTGAATGCCCGGAGCCAACTGTAGGCCACTTCGTGGTCTTCGAGTTCCCAGAACTCCATTCCTGGGCATGATTTTGAATGCCCAGAGCCAACTATAGGCCACTTCGTGGTCTTCGAGTT